ATTTTTGGGACAGAGAGAGACAGAGCATGAACGGGGGAGGGGCAGAGAGAGAGGGAGACACAGAATCGGAAACAGGCTCCAGGCTCCGAGCCATCAGCCCAGAGCCTGACGCGGGGCTTGAACTCACGGACCGCGAGATCGTGACCTGGCTGAAGTCGGACGCTTAACCGACTGCGCCACCCAGGCGCCCCATAAATGTTACTTATTTTTGAGAGAGAGACAGAGTGTGAGTGGGGGAGGGGCAGAGAGAGAGGAAGACACAGAATCCGAAGCAGGCTCCAGGCTCCGAGCTGTCGGCATAGAGCCTGACGTGGGGCTCGAGCTCACAAGCTGTGAGATCATGACCTGAGCTGAAGTCACTTAACTGACTGAGCCACCCAGGTGCTCTGCAATAAAGTATTTTTATTTTTTTTATTTTTTAACGTTTTTTCATTTATTATTGAGAGCAAGAGGGACAGAGCATGAGTATGGGAGGGGCCGAGAGACGGAGAGACACAGAATCCGAAGCAGGCTCCAGGCTCTGAGCTGTCAGCACAAAGCCCGATGTGGGGCTCGAACTCACAAACCACGAGACCGTGACCTGGGGCTGAAGTCTGACGCTTAACCGACTGAGCCACCCAGGTGCCCCAATAAAGTATTTTTAAATGAAGTATATGCATTTTTTTTTGACATACTGCCCTTCGATACTCTTAATAGAGTAGCATGTAAACATAACTTTCACGTACATCTGAGAAACCAAAGCATGCGTTTGACCCACTTTATGGTGACGTTTGCTTATTGTGGTGGTCTGGAACCCAACCCGCAATATCTCTGAGGTATGCCTGTATTTAAACAGGCCTCGGGTAATAAAGCAGTGAATAATGGGGGCCACTTGTCCCAAACTCTTTGGACCATAAGACACTTCCGTTTCCCTTCACCGCCTCACATTTAGAACAAATGCCGCGGAGTTGCATGCCTGGGGAAACCCTGTGTTCCGCCATGTTGACTGTGTGGGGGGGGGTGGGCATGCGGATGTCATGAACAAGACCCCGGGGCTCCTGGGTTCCTTAAGCTTGAGGAAAGAACTCAAGGGAGTTAGAAAGAAAGGGAGGGATATTAGAAGGGGGACTGTCCAGGGCTGAGTTTCTCATTTGGAAGGGTTAAGTCTCCTCGTTGGGGTGCTCTAAGGGAACAGTGAGGCATGGAGGAGGGAACTTTCTCTGCTGGGGGTTGGAGCTGGAGGGAAGCAGGGCCACTGACCCCATGGATTCTGGGCGACGGATGTGGCGGACTCTTTTCTGTTGCTTGGCGTCTCTCGGGAACTCTTGTGGTTGCCCCTCCTTTCGGTCTTTATCCACTTCCTCTCCGACGCCCCTGAAGGCCTCCTTCTTTCCCTTTCTACCCAAACACCTGTCCCCTCTTCTGATGCATCCCTCAAGCCCCCCTCTCTTTGTTTTTAACCGCCCACAACGAGGGATGAAACATATACGGGCGTTGTGTTTATATCTGTGCTGGAAATTATGAAAGTTACTACATAAGAGCTTCTGTTCCCTTTTTCTTCTCTTAGAAACAGCTGAAATGGGCATTTTCCTTTTTTCTTGTATCCCCAGAACGAATTGTGTTCCTTATGGTTATGAGTGATCATTGACCAATTTTATTTTATTCCACCTGCCCCCTGCTACCCGGAGGCTGGAGGCCTCAAAAGCACCCACTTCTGGCCTCTAACTCTTGGTCAGCTGAGAGCCCAGAGGACTGGGAATAATCAGGAATGCTCGTGGGTAAGCCGTAACCGTTCAGATCTCCACCAAGCACTTTTTCTGAGTGTGCCTGGGACTGGGGGGCCTGAAACCCAGCAACACCAGGTCAGGGCAGAGCTGCCGGATGGAGAGAAATGGTTGGATGCAAAATTATTTTTTCTTTCCCGGTAATTGTTTTGACATGGGGAGTAATTAGCCAGCAGCTGACAGCTCAGAACCGAAGTGAGAACAAGAGAATGGATTAGGGACAGAATGCCCCTGCGTTAGGCAGTTCCTGGCTGGCATTAATGTGGCAGACGGGGTGCCTGGGGGATGCTGGAAGCAGAAGGCAGACAGGCGTATACTGAGGGTGCACGTTTAGGTGCTGTGAGGGGGTCAGTGGGGGTCAGAAGGGCGGCCCCTGGCCTCCAGGAGGCCCCCTGTAGGGACCCAACATCGTCAGAGGTGGTGACTGCTTCCAGGCTAAGACCTGCTCAGGTAAGAGTATACATATTTCGTGTTTGTAGTCAAACTGAACTGTGGCTCAGTTCTTCTGTTGTTTTAGGGTCAGGGTAATGCTGGCTTTGTGCAATAAACTGGGAAATTTGCCCCATGTTCCTAAAGCCAGGTGCGGTTTTTTTCTAGGATTTTCTTTGTCGAGCATTTGAATGCATTTGCCCGTAAAACCATCTGGGTCCAGTGCCTTTTGGAGGGAGGTCATTTTTCAAAAGTTTTACTCATTTTGGTGTTTCTAGGGTCCTTTGAAGCCATTTTTAATCATTTGGGTCTTACGGAAGGTCGTGTATTTATTAGCACATAATTACAAATCATATGCTCTTGTATTTACAAAAAAATCTCTTAACGAGATCTGCTTATGTGTTCTTTCTAATTCCACCTTCTGAGCATTCGTGCTCTCTGTCTGTCTCAAATTAGATGGGCTGACCTGCTTTTTTATTGCTGTGATTCCTCCCCCAGGCACACACAAAGAGAACTTGCCTGAGTTGTGAATGTCATCCTGCTTCCTAACCAATTCATTTCCGTTGCTGTATCTACACCCCCTCCTCATGTTTTCCTTTGGTTAATTTTATTGGCTTTTAAAATGTTTTCTAAATTATTATTTTTTTATTTTTTTTAATGTTTATTTTATTTTTGAGAAAAAGCACGAGCAGGAAAAAGGTGGAGAAAGAGAGAGAGAGAGACTCTGAGGCAGGCTCCAGTCTCCGAGCTGTCGGCACAGAGCCCGACGCGGGGCTCGAACCCACAAACCATGAGATCATGACCTGAGCTGAAGTCAGATGCTTAACTGACTGAGCCACCCAGGCGCCCCTGGAAGGCATTTACTTAAATTTCCAAGTGTTTGGGAGTTGGAGGGATGGGGAATTTGATATTTGTTCTTTGGCTATTATCTGCTTTTACTCCTTTCTGGTCAAAGAATGTGGCCAACGTTCTTTATGCCTTTTGCGATTTACTGACACTTTATTTGCGGCTTAAATATGCCCAAATCATTTTTTTTTTAAGTTTCTGTGGCTTGTTGGCAAAAGACGGTTTCTTTCTTTGTAGCGCATGATGTTTAATATCTAGTTGATTAAATTGCTGGGATAGCCTCACTTTTGTCCACTGCTCAGTTGCATACGGAAAGCGGTCCAGTTTTCCCCTGTTGTCTTTAGATGCCACACCACGTGAATTTTCTCCATTTCAGTCCTATGCTGTTTGATAAGTAATAGTTCTCAAATGTTATGCCTTCATCGTGGGTTATATTTATCAGGGTAGGGCCCTTCTTGGCATGGCTTATGCCAACTCGAGTGGATTCTCCTCGACCCCGCCCCCCCCCCCCAGCACCCTCCGATGCTCTTGGAAGCCCATCCCCTTAAGCTGGGGACTCATGGATAGCATCAGCATGTAACTAGCTGCCGAGGGGCATGTGTGCAGACCAGGACTGTGGCTGGCCCAGCGGGTTAATTTGTTTCTTGCTTCCCCAAGCCACCTCCCTGGGGGCCACCTCCGTGCCCAGTTTTCGGTAGCCTTCCTGTGTCTGTGCCCAGCATTCTTCCAGGGGATCAGACCACCCTGCAGATCAGAGAGAAGCCTAGCTGTCCACGGGGGTCTGCCGAGTGGTCTGTGTTTCTGGTCTCAGGGGGTTATGGATTTGTTTTGTTTCTTACTGCAAATGGTAGACAGTGGGAGGCATCCCCCAGCGGGAAAAAGGTCCTGCGTGGGGGCAGCCTCCATCACCCCATTGCTTGCTTCCAGCAAATCAGTAGGTGTCAGTGGCTTTCAGCCAGTCTCTCTCTTGCTTCTGGCCACATTCCAGGGCTCTCTCCATAAGAACCACGTGTTGGACCCCACTTTGTAGGTCTTTGGTTCGACCCGCATGGTGGATATGTTGTTCCAAGCCCAGGGCATAAGGGAGGCACGCTTCTCTGGTCTCCAGAGATCACACAGGCTTGGGGTTCAGGGTGACTGGATTCGGGAACAGAAGCAGTGACCTGCTGTCTCTCCATCTATACCCCTCTCTCCTTTTCATAAGTTACGCCATAACTCACAGCTCCTTTTGGCAAATACTGTCTCATTTGATTTTCTTTTTTAAAAACTATTTTGAAAATGTTTATTCATTTTTGAGAGAGAGAGAGAGACAGAGCACGAGCGGGGGAGGGGCAGAGAGCCAGGGAGACACAGAATCGGAAGCAGACTCCAGGCTCCGAGCCGTCAGCCCAGAGCCCCACGTGGGGCTCGAACCCACGAACCGCGAGATCATGACCTGAGCCGAAGTCGGACGCCTAACCGACTGAGCCACCCAGGAGGCCCGTGTCTTGTGTGATTTTCATGCCAACAGGGTAGGTTCGGAGATTGGGGAGAATTGTCCCCATTTTCCAGATCCAGAAACTGAGGCTCACCGAGCTCAGTAAGCTCCACGTAACCACGAACCGCAGGCAGGTAGCGGACGGGCCACCTGACTCTGTGGAAGGAGGCTGGGCCCTTGACGGGCACCAGTGGCCACAACTGATGCGGCACTTCCGGTGACGGCTGTTAGACTCTCGTGACCCCACCTCCCATTTCAGCACGTCCCCCGCTGGTTCAGGAAGAAACGTGGTTCCCCCAGGAGTTCCGCCATTGGGTGCTGGGGGTTAGAGAGATGTGTGCCAGCCTTTTCTGGCTCCGCGAATACCGGTAAGATCCCAAGAGATGGTCCCAGCCGTGCAAGACGTCTCAGAGCCAGGCAGGAGAAGGGCCGGTGTTGCCCGCCTGTGGCCAGCGCAGCTTCTGAGCCGTGTTTCTCTCCCGCAGTGAATGGATACCACGCGGCAGGGACCCCAGCGCACCCTCCTGAGACTGCCCACATGAGTGTCCGAAAATCCACCGGTGATTCCCAGGTAAGGGGTCCTGTGACGGGAGGTAGTGGGGGGAGGGGGTCAGTCATGCAGGGCCAGGGGGCTGTCGTCAAGACGGCGCGTCCCGGGGGTCCGGGGGATGGCAGTGCAGGTCTGGTTGGTGTAGAAAGCGGTTGGTGTATCTGGGTCGTTCCCACGCGCCATGATTGGAGGAAAGCGGGTGATTGTGCCTTGCTGGTTTTCTCTAGGACTCGCAGGCGGCTGGGGACGGGGGGGTGATTTTGGTGGATCGTAGGGCACAGGGTTCCATCCTGCCGTCTGGATTCCTGTTACGTAGAGTCTAGGTTTCCGTCGCTTTGCGAGTATGGATGGGGCCGGGCGATTTCCCTTCTTCTGTGCACCCCCTCCGCACCCCCACGTGAAATTTATTCTCATACTTAATAATCTAGCACAGAGACCACAGTAGGATGGGGGGAGGACATGGGGGAAAGGCTTAAGATTCCCATCCTGGCTTCTCCATCACCACATCCGTTGGCATTTATGCAGACACACGTCTGTACCTTTCCCGTGTCACAGGTGAGGCCACGGAGTCTTAGACCGCTCAGGTGACTCAGGCAGGTTCACACGGTTACCAAGTGGTCAGACCGGACTCTGACGCCGAGCCCCGGGGTGCTTCTAAGTTTGCGTTAAGCTGTGTCCGAGGAACGAAGGATCGGCTTGTTCTAGTCTGTCTGTAAGTTCTGTCCAGAAGATGTTCTGAGTGAAGGCCCCAGGGTCCACCAGTCCTTTCCAGGAGCTCCTCTTCCAGGCCCCAGGGGTGAAGATGGCAATGGTGATACCTGTGTTGGCTGCTGTGCGGGATGACCGTGGCCGCTTATCCCCAACAGCGGGTGCCACGTGCCCTTCAGAGCAAGGCCTTGTGATCTGTTGCTGAGCTCAGCCGAGCTGTGACACTTGGCAGTCACACAGACAGGAGTGTTCATTTTTGGAAACTTTGTTCGGTCGGGCCCAGATTAATTCAGCTAACTCTCTGGGAAAGAAATCGGACGTCCATCTGGGCCAAGGCTTCTCCCCTTTTGACGGACTTCCTCATCACCCAGGCCTCTTGTTAAAAATGTAGGTTCTGGGGCGCCTGGGTGGCTCAGGTCATGATCTCGCGGTTCGTGGGTTCGAGCCCTGCGTCGGGCTCTGCTGACGGCTCGGAGCCCGGAGGCTGCTGCTTCGGATTCTGTGTCTCCCTCTCTCTCTCTCTGCCTCTCCCGGCTCACGGTCTCTCTCTCTCTCTCTCTCTCTCTCAAAAATGAATAAACATTTTTAAAAATGTAGATTCTGATTCAGAAGGTCTAGGAGGGACCCTGAGCTTCTGTGTTTCCAACCAGGCCCCGGATGATGCTGATGATGTCGGTCAGGGGACCGCGACTTTAGCAGCGAGGACCCGGGCACAGACGATAGGACACAGCATGTGAATGTAGCCGCTTTGCTCCCCTGCTCATGGCACACGTCCCTCCCAGCCCTGGCACTGTGTGTTTTCTGCTGAGCCCCCAAACTGCCCCTGCCGACCTATGTGGGACGAACCTGACTTTTACCACCCGGCTGCATGGTGATTTCTGAAGACCTCAGCCTAGCTCCTTCTCTGCTGTAACAGAAGGGAAAAAGCTGCTGTTGGCTTGGGTACATCAAGAAGAATATTGGAAACATCCCCCCCCCCCCC